ACTGTTTACAGAGCTGATTTCTTTTCCGTTGAAATATAGTTTTAGACCTCCATTGCTGTCTTTGCGAGAGAATAGAACCGATTTAGTCTTTTCGGGATTGTAAGTTATGAGCCAAAGTTTCGCCCATTCACTTAAGATTGCTAAATTTGTGCTTAAGGAACGTTCCAGTACACAGTTATCATTGGATGACATGCCAATCGATGTATCGTCGGCAAACAGTCTTGTCATACAGTCTAATTTATCAGCAATGTCATTTACATAATCAATAAAGAGTAAAGGACCAAGCACGGACCCCTGTGGCACGCCAGCCTTCATTTATCTTGGTACGCTTTGGCTACGATTACTTACGTAACTGGTAATCCATTTTAACAATTGGCCTTTTATACCATACCTCTCTAATTTGTACACAAGCCCACTGTGCCATACACGATCAAAGGCTTTTGATATATCACAGAATACAATACAATAGTTTTCTTGTTATCTAGCGCTGTACAAATTTGGTGGTAAAGATCTATTAGTTGATGGACAGTTGAGTGACCAGCCTGAAACCCAGATTGGTTCTTATACAACAATTTGTTCTCATGAAAGTAATTATATAAATGTTTGAACACTACTCTCTCAAACAATTTTCCTTAACAGCTAATGAGTGATATCGGTCTATAATTAGAAACGATAGTGTGATCACCTTTCTTAAATAGTGGCATAACGTTTGCTTTTTTCCACACTGATGGAAATATACTTGATTGTAGGGACATATTGAACAGTAAACACAATGCTTCACTTATAGAATATACAGTTTTCTTTAATAATTTATGACAAATCTTGTCCGGTCCAGAGGCTTTGTTCAGAGGCAAACATTGTATTATGTCTTCAATTTCCATTTTAGATGTGACTATGTTGTTCATCTCTGTCTCTGTACGAAATGTGGAGTCGGGCAAGTTGTTCTTGTATCATAGACATCAGATATAGATATTTATTCAGTTTCTCAATATCAGTAAAAAGTGTCGGGTGTTCGTCCGTATCATACTTTTTTAAGAGCGGCTATGTTGTAAGCTGAGTCAGAGTTCTTCACAACATAACGTAAAACTTTCCAGTAAGAGGGTTTGTTTTCTGCATGCAATTCTGATAGCAATTCATCGAGGTTTGAGTAAAAATGTTCTTTAGCGTGACATTTCATGTTATTTACTTTGTTCCTCTGATTTCTATAGGCCCGAATGTCGTTTTCCTTATGACTTTTTTTTTTTTTCTAGCCTTCTTTCTTAATCTATCTCTTTTCCTGGATCCTCGTCTTAAACTGAAATCTTACCAAGGTTTGTCCTTTGTACGAATGGTTACTACTTTGGTTGGAATGCATATTTTAACATATTTATTCAAGTATTTATAGAACAGATTACATGCTTCATCAACATTTGAATTTTGACTAAATAATTCATTCCAGCAAGTATTTTCAATAAGCGAATTTAGTTTATCATAGTCACCGTTTTTAAAACATGAAATGTCTCTTTTATATGCTAATTTTGTTCGCAAATAAATGTCTATTTCAATGTAAGTTCCCCTATGGTCGCTAATTTTACTATCAAAATCAATTACACCACTGTCGATGACTTTTATATCTTCACTGATAATAATAGGATCCAATAAACTACTGGTGTGGTCAGTAATTCTGGTAGGCTCGGTTATGATATTGTGTAGATATTCCTATTTAGTAATTCATTTACGTTTAAGCTCCTAGACAATAACATATTTTCATTTATGTCACCAACAACAGTAATCTTGCACGAAATATCCTGGGCATTTTCAATGCTATCATCTAAGTGAGTCCAAAAGTTCACTGAATTATGTTAAGGTCTGTAGACAGAGCACAATAAAATTGAGCTTTGAGGTAAGCATATTTGAATCCATATCTATTCGTCTTGCATGTTTTCTAATTCCTGTCTTCTTTTAAAAGATAACAGCTTATTTACATATATAATAACACCACCACCGAACATATTTCTGTCTTTTCGTACCGGTTCTTAAATGTTTTCCCAGCTCGAGTCTTCATTTTTAATACTGTCATCTAGGTGTGTCTCGGTAAAACAAACGACGCTGTAATCTGAAAGGTATTCACTTAAATAAGAGAGTTTGTTACGTTTACTTCTAGCATTTAGGTGAAATATAGACAGTGACTGGTCAGCGTTGTCACGGTTTGGTGGTCCAGGATTTGGATGTACATGTACGTCCCCGGCTAGCATGAGCAACAATAACAAAACAGTTGTTACATTAGCGCTTCTGATCTGAGCTTGCATGAAACAAAGAAATACAAACACGCTCTGCATTCGACATGCAGTAAATCACACAATTTGTAAAATTCGTTGAGAAAAGATACAGTGAATGGAGTACTACTTAGGCTGAATTTATGTGTGCAACGCAGGCTCTTTTGACACGAAATACAATTGAAAACCCCGATCACCACACGGTGTTGAATTATATCATTACCCATTGGGTAAGATGCATATATACATACTTCTCATAGCTGTGTGGTAGTGTGATCGGGAACACTGACAATAGTAAGATAACTGCGAGAACAAAATATCATGCATATTTAACAAAACCGGCAATGCAGATCTTGACATGGAATTATGGCAAGGATAGTTAGTCATCATAAAACTGTGTACACCAGAGTTAGAGAGTGGAGTGTTTTCCGTTGTGTGGACACGTGACGGTAGTTAGTATTGATGACATTACTATGAGTATGCTTTGGAGGATCCTTTTGTATCACTGTTGTATCGCAGTATGGATCACTTGTAACTGAAGCTGTACAGTGCAGGGTACAAATCTAATCTAATGTAAGTTCTCAATAACATCAACGATATCAGTCCAGGTCAGACTCGCACTGAATCACCCACATAACACCCTCGGGTTGTTCCTCAACATACACTCGGCCATCATAAGTCCACGTGGAAGAGATTAGGTGTTTTGCTTTTAAGTCTCGAGTCAGTTTGAACAGTTTACTTCGATGCTTGGTTAGGTCCTCGTTTATATAGACCGAACTTCTATTTTGTCTCAGCATTCTTCTGTTAGAAATTACTTTGTGCCTGTTTCTATAGCTGACGAATTTTACGATGACCTGTCTGTTCCTATCCATGTTTTTCTTACCGACTCGGTGGCATCTGTCGATGTCCGATGCTGTGAGGTCAGGATGTAAGTCTCTGAGGACCTCCATCACTAATGCCTCCGTGTTTTCCTCCTTGGGCCCAGGTAGGCCACTGATACGTAGAGAGTTTCTTCTACTGTACTGTTCAAGATCATCATCTTTCATCTCAAGTTCATGTCGAAGATGAATGATTTCTTGCTTTAGCGGTTGTACAATATCTCTGGCTAGACCTTCGACAAGATCCTTTGCTACACTCTCAAATAACTTGGCAAACTTGTCTTGGAGTTGGGGCAACATGGGAGCTCTGCTGAGTTTACTTGTGAGAATGTCAATGGAGGCATCATTAATAAAGTTAAATATTGTTGATGGATACAATATATCCTTCTGATTAGCCGACACGTTCTTAGAAAAACTGTCCTGTGAGAGATTTTGATTTTGATCACAGTGTTGTTTCTCACTTACCGGTTCAGTGTCCTGGTTTTCAGCTGTAGGTTCAGATGTACTGGCTTCGAATGTAAAAACGGAAGGCATCTGTATGGTATACTGTACCAGCTGCCTCGGTGTTTTCGGTGGCAGAGAGTCTGTAGGTGACCCCGAAGGCTTCCGTTTCTCACATGTGCTTCTAACCTGTTTGCCGGATTTCTTCCTATATCTATGTCGAGATGCTACCCTTTGCACGCAACGCTAGTGGATAGTTTTCACATTGTCTCGAATTTATTCAAACAGTATGACAACATAAAAGAAATGTTGGGGTATTATTGTAAAGCCAACATTTTTTTCGAGAAAACGACTGGTGCATGGGTCTATATACTTACGATCTAAACAAAACAAGCCATGGCAACGAGGCCGAAAGTAAAGAGTTAGTAGTTTTTAACCAGTTTGCAACATGTTGTTATATCCCTCATAATTGAAAGTTACAACAACCGAAAATGGTCTACACATCGATCGCTGTGTCGAAACATAAGCAACTGGATATGCCTGCTCAAAACTCTATTTTTTACTTATATAATGTTCATTTACCCTTCAAACATTAGGGAGCAACCGTTTGATCTTCGGTAGGGCTGCCCCCCCCCCAAAAAAAAAAAAAATTTAAAAAAATTAAATTAATAATAATAATAATAGAGCCCCTATTTTACTGAGAATTTCGTAATTTCTGCTCTGGCAAAACGGAAACAAGATAGTTTGGGCAAGAAGCTGAACTTAGGCGTGTCTGTGTCTTATTTTGATTTATGCATAGATTTCCAAGATCGTCAATACTATTTTTGCTCAAATGGCATCAGTGAAGCTTTCAAAACGTTTTATGTTAGACATCTGGAGACACCTGGTATAATCACTATTTGATAGTAATTCGTAAATTTATGCTCATGGTATAGTCGGAATCGTTCACTGGACTTAGTGGAGACGTATTATTATTATTATCATTATTATCATTATTATTATTATTATTATTATTATTATTATGATGATGATGATGATGTTTTTTCTCGCTATTCTTAAACATATATATTGCTGGGTCCCCAAATCCCTGTCTCGATTAACCACAATCCTTAATACAATCAAAGAAGAACTTTCTTTATATTCACAGAAAGTATATGAGACAAATGGAATTAATACCATGTAAAATCTATATTAAAAAAATCAAAGGATTTGCTTAACTGTTTATATACAATCTCAGAAAAGAACCAGTTTCCATTCTGTCAAAACATCTCAATTTTCAACTATGTAAACCACTCTCTCACATGACAAACAAGTGCAAAAAAGTTGACCCTATTAATTACATGGCAGACAATACCTGATCGAGATATGCTAAATAATTCTTCCTCTGACAGGAGAAACCTTCGCGGCTTCTTTCATCTCCATCCATCATCAGGTGGGGTTGTTCCCGCAGCAGACAGAAGAAGATTAATGGAGAAGCAGCGTTCTACGAAACCATTCAATCATGCCTTGTCCGTCCAAGGTCGACTATATATGCTCCCTTCATAAAGAACAGTTTCACACCACACCTGAGAGAGACACCGGTAAGTAGTTGTCTGCATTCTATTATTTCATTATTTTTTCATTAACGCCTTAAATTATCCCTTCAGGTTTTTGTAAATGTGAAGTCATTATCCATCCGGACGTCAGCTTATAATGTCAAATTTATGTCATTTCTTTCGCAACAATCAAACTGTTGTGTCAATGCCTAGGTTAAATGAAAAACACTGTATTAAACAGTTTTGGTGGGTTTTCTTAAAAAACGTATTGTTCCCAGAGTTGGAGATTAATACAGTATTCCGTTAAAAACATATTTCGGATAGCATAGAATGGCACAATTAAACAGTAAATACATTACTCAGAACAGATGATAAATTGTTGATTATTTAATATCTCAGATATTAAAAGACTGTATTACACTGTTATGCTTAAATATTGTATACTCAGTTAAGATGACTGACTATACACTTCTGATGTGTCATCTGAATCTTTCTCTCCTCAGCATTATGCCACTCTACAGTACAAGTCTGGTGGCTGTCTTTGCTGGGCTTGTTATCCTTGCCTCTGCCCAGTTTCCCGGTGGTCACTACCCCGGTGGTCACTACCCCGGGGGCCAGTACCCCCCTGGCCAGTACCAGTACCGCTGTCAGGTTCCTAAAGTCACGGGCAATTGTTTAACCTCTCGTCCGCGGTACTACTTCAACTATCAACTTGGCATCTGCGAGAAGTTCATCTATAGCGGCTGCGGTGGAAACTCGAACAACTTCCACACCCTGACTGAATGTCGCGCCGTCTGTGGAGGTAGGTGTTACTAGAGTAATTCAACGTGTTTCTCTATAGTTCCTCCAACCCATCAAATAATGCATAAGGCAAAATAATATGTGATAATGTTATGTTATAGCATCTTTCTTATTGAACGGTTGTACGGGTATTTACTTGGGCTCGAGAAGCACCCCCCGGGTTTTCTGAGGGGCGGTCGGGTAGCCTAGTGGTTAAAGCGTTCGCTTGTCACGCCGTAGACCCGGGTTCGATTCCCGACATGGGTACAATGTGTGAAGCCCATTTCTGGTGTCCCCCGCCGTGATATTGCTGGAATATTGCTAAAAGCGGCGTAAAACAATACTCACTCACTCATAGGTTTTCTGAACTAGTTTTAAGCAACTGAAGTTCAAGATATCTTCAATATGGCGACACAAACTGGTTTGCTTGTTATTTCTGCGTGTGTCCTTATGAATCTTGACAAGGAGTATAGGTAGATAATCCAACAATCAAATTACAGATATGTAAACAAATTGCTGGATTTGTTGTCACTGCTTCAGAATCTCTGCACAACAAACGTTATTCCATTTTAACATTTTAGTTTAGTTTAGTTTAGTTTCAACAAAATCAATAAACGCGCTATCATGTAACTGGATTGTCTGGTCAAGGTTTATGCAAATTGTGAGTGGCGGGTGCTGACGGTAGAGCAGGACATGCTTACCCATGTCTCCAATCCTGGTGTCTTCACTGATTTTCAGTGATCCATTGATATATCTATTACCACTGTGACGGCGGATAAGCGAGACTGGTAATTCTCTGGCGTGCAATTTGTGAGTTTAAAAACACAGATGGTTACGAAATAAGTGTCAAGTGTGTTTGGTTGCAAATTATTTGCGAGATGTGTTTATGATTTGAAGATGACCTCAAAAGTCAACTATTTATTAAATTAATACATTGTTTTAATTTAACATGACTGATTTTTAAAAAAGTCATTTACGTGTTTAATAACACTCATCGTGCATTCTGGCCAGAGTTTTCTTAATTTTGTACGATAGACAGTGTATTGGTCTATAAATGAAGCTGCGTCTTTTAAAGTAAGAAAACTGTCGGAATGTCAAAATATTGATCATGACGTCATCATCTACTATGACGCAAACAATGATGACTTCATACATTGTGCCCATTCAGAGAATCGACCCCGGCATTTCGGGATGGGCATTCGTTTTATTCACTAGGCCACCCGTCCACCATCAGTGTCGGGGATACAGTTGGTATATGAACGATGGGGTAACCATGTGGTGAAAGCGTTCATTAGTCACACTCTAGGCGCTGGTTCGAATCCCCATATCTGATGTCGTCTGATTGCTGTATTATTACTACAAATATTTAAAAACTATATTCACTCACTCATCAACATGTGTTTGTCTAATTTTATAAAGGATAAACATATCCCAAAGTAGTCGCGATCGTCATCGGGAAAATCACACATCAACCTACATAATAGTTTAACTACACAATAAATCCATTTTTTTTCATGGCTCTTTCTATAACTCCCTGCAATTCCCTATTCTGACTCGTACCATACGTGGTTTTCATTTTTCAGGTGAACAATTGACTTGCCTTTGTATGTGTTTGTAATGGGTGCCACCAGTGGGACAGGATACGCTCCAGTTTTGGCGAACACCTCGCTCCATCACTATTTGATATGTTTGAAAGAGTTGTGATGCTTTTATTCACATTTGGGTCACGAATCATATTTTATATGCAATCTCATTAAAATCAGACCTAAGTTCTCGCTACCGCTAAACAAAGATCTAAGGACATCCCATTACGGGTCACGTCAGAACGACCTTTCATCCGACTAATCAGAACATCGCTTACCAGATTATGAAAGTGACAGTCGGAATCATGATCATGCAGCCTCGAAAACTTTAACTCCGAACGATAGTTACGGGTTTACCGACTGTATCCATACAATCTAGACCATCTATAAGCCATTCCAGAATGTTCTTTTGTTCAGGTTTCAAATTTGTAATCGAGAATTTGTCAAAATACGTTTCGAAGCGTAGTTGCCAATTTGAAACTAGTGCCGTAAAGCACGAGAAAGCTGCCTTCTGATTGGTCATTCCATTGGTCGGTCAAAGTTCGCGCAAGTCGGTCTGACGTGACCCGTAATGGGATGTCCTCAGATCTTTGTTTAGCGGTAGCAAGAACTAAGATCTGATTTTAATGAGATTGATTTTATATGTTGCTTTATTCAATTTATTGCATTACTCTGCCTGTTTTCTTCCAGGCGAGGACCTTTGTTTGCAACCCGTTCTCCAGGGTCAGTGCCAAGGCTACTACGATCGGTACTTCTATGACCATTATTCTGGCACCTGCAGACGTTTTGTCTACGGAGGGTGCGGGGGCAACTGCAACAACTTCCACACTCTGCAAGACTGTCAGTTCCAGTGCTGCTAATCTCGGGGTAGCACTATCAGACATCGTTTTAGAGGTTCCAGGTGCTTTCGGCGAGCCTATTCTGACCTGGAGATGTTTTGATAAAGCCTTCTTCTCCAAGGCACTCATAACACTTATCTTCAATAATAAATATTATTAGTAATATCCGCACTTGTCTTATATGTATTTATATATATAGGATCACCTCCTTGGTCTAGTGGGGCGGTCGGGTAGCCTAGTGGTTAAAGCGTTCGCTCGTCACGCCGAAGACCCGGGTTCGATTCCCGACATGGGTACAATGTGTGAAGCCCATTTCTGGTGTCCCCCGCCGTGATATTGCTGGAATATTGCTAAAAGCGGCGTAAAACCATACTCACTCACTCACTCCTTGGTCTAGTTGATAGAGTGTCATGGTCGGTGGTTCGATCCGGTGGCCGCATCATAACAAAATACGTCAAAATGGGGGTATTTGTTGTTATCCTGCCTGGCGCTCGGCATTTAGGGGATAAACCAAAAACTGGTCGACTCGGAGTCAGTATACTGTGTCTTAATAGGGTATTCATGTTAAACTGGTATCTCAGCGGGTTAGTACTATAAAACCGACAGTATTCCGGATTAGTACATGCACGCACGCAAGCACAATCACACACACACACACACACACACACACACACACACACACACACACACACACGTGCATGCACGTCGCTCTTGAACGTGATATTTAACTCTGTTCCACCACACCTCATATATATAGAGAGAATATCACCGGTTGTCTTTTGATATCAAATATATTAACATTAGTGGGTGAGTGAGTATGGTTTTACGCCGCTTTTAGCAATATTCCAGCAATATCATGGCGGGGGACACCAGAAATGGGCTTCACACATTGTACCCATGTCGGGAATCGAACCCGGATCTTCGGCGTGACGGTGACGAGCGAACGCATTAACCACTAGGCTACCTGACCGCCCCTCAACATTAGTGGATTAAAGTGGCAAAAACGAGACTTGCCCAGAAGGTTTTCCACTTTCGTCGACAAGTATTGATACATTCTCAGTCATTGAGAACAAACAATGCATAATTTAAATCACCATTTTGACGTTACATCACCTGGCACAAGTCATCAACCTTTTAATGTGACGTTGCGATGCGTACGCGAAATCACCCCTTAACTAATGTAGTTACGTGTGTTCATCAATACAAAAAGCAAACTTACACAAAAATGTCTTTCTTTTGTGCGAAACGGCAAATCGGTCACCATGTTGAGAAATAGAGGCAGTCTGTTGACGTTGCGGCGTCCTTTATGACATTTCCATGTTTGAGGGTTACAACAGTCCAAAGATGACTCTCATTCTAACCTACGTCCAACACCACATTCAGCAAGCAATACACACATTCGAAGAGGTATAAACGTGGGGTCAGTCTGCGGTAAGACATTACATTTTAGACAGACGTCTTTTGGTCCGCTTGTCGGATACACGCCAGGTCGAGGCTAAATGAAGAAAACATACTGTGAATAGGTCAGGAACATGCTTACAGGTCTGAGACGATAACGAATGAATGACCGTATGATAATAAATGAATTTAATCACCCCTTGACACATTTAGGTCACCATGAAGTACTGGTAAATAATGGTGATTGATGGTTATTCCATTTTTTTCCCCTTCCTCTAAGAAAACGTGTCTTTTATCATGCTTGAGCTACTTTCCGCATGAAACCAATACTCTGTTTGACATCCGATGACGTCTATTGTACGCTTGAGGCTGTACACGGGCGCAACAAGATGCTAATCTGGCACTCTGTTGTCATTAAGGCACTCCCTTTAATAGTTGAGTGAGTGAGTGGGTGTGGTTTGATCCGCTAAACAGTGTGTCAGTTATATCACGGCATGTCAGTCTCGTGAAAGTCAGTCAGCTTGACAAAGGTAACCGACTTCGACCACTTTGGTAAAACACACGAACTCTGTTGCGGTGTGGACTGACCGAGGTTCATAATCAGAGTACAACTGAGATTCGTGTAAGGGACGTAACTCTGCATGATGAGTCGGAGTTGCTAAGAAGACTGTTCAACCTTCGTCACCTTTATTTACTGAAACGTGGAGTGACTGAGTAAGTTTGGTTTAACGCTGTGTATTATTCAGCTGTATCACGGAGTTTAAGCCTCGCGTGGGGGAAATTCCGAAGTGATGCAGATCTTAGACGTTTACCACTTTGGTGAAACCCACGGGTTTGATGCTGAAAAAACTAGAACATAATCAATGTTAATCTTCGATTCGAACCCGTCATCGACAAAAAGAAACGCTGCATATAAATTGCAAACTTATACAGTTTTAAGGTGTTTAATGATGGATAACCTCTCATGACCTACACAATCAATCTTTGTTTTGCTTGATGTCTTGACAGTCACTCAGAAAACGAAAAGAGCCTCTCACACTTCAGGATACTCGTAGCTCGTAGACATTTAAACGTTGAGTGAGCGTTTCATTACATTTATGCTTGAGGCACAGGGCGCACTATTACAGCTGCATATTTTGAGTTTTTTTCACTCAGCGCCAGGAGAAACGCGAATACCACACATGGTAGGTAATGTATGAAGAATTACTCATATTCAAGAGATATTAGATTGTTCGATGCACAAACGAACATACTGGTATGCTGAATGAACCGACGCTCATGAACGCTTCACATGTGACGTCATAGATCCATGACTCAAGATGCACCATTTGTCTCGTGCAGGATTAGCGTGTAAAGTTTGGAAATCACGGGCATCATATCGTGATAAGAATAAAGACACTCTGTGGTAACACTTGACTGATTGCTAGTTTTGTCATTAATTTGAAACATTTATTTTGTCGGTGAGTATATATAGATAAAGGGACACTCTATACGCATTTATTCATTAATACGACAATTGGTTAATCAAAACAATTTCCCTGATAACGGTTCTGTCTGGTGCTGGTTGAAAATGCTTGAGACAAGAGCAACTGTTAAAAAGGGTGCGCCACAAAATCTGTCCAGAACAACCTCAAAATACAAAGCGGACGATAAAAATGATGAATTTTTCACTCTTTTACAAGAAATGTTAAGTCTCGTTTGTTTATTTGTTTGTTTGACTGTTTATTTGTTTGTTTAAGTCGAGTTTCTCCCTTGATTGATTACTCGGAGATGATTGATCTGCTACAATATCGGCTAGAATTGGTCCCTGGGACTTGTCTTGAGCGGCGATGTGGTCAGGCTTGGTGACTTGGCTCTTTCCCCGAAGGGGCCCGTGAAGATCGGATAAGGATAGGTCTTCAGCAACTCATGTTTGCCGTTACCGGCGACCATGTTTGTTGTAAGAAACGACTAACGGGATTGGGTGGTCAGGTTCCCTGACTTGGTTGATGCATATCAACGTATCCCAATTGCGTGGATCGATGCTCGTGATGTCAACCACTGGATTGTCTGGTCCAGACTCGACTATTTAAAGACCACCGTCATGTAGCTGGAATATTGCTGAATGCGGCGTTAATCAACAAACAAACAAACAAACAGTCATATCAACACACTCAGACGGCGTGGGACGTTGCTCACAAAATCACAGGATTGCTTGCTCCAGACTCGATCATGTACAGGGTGCGACCATGTGTAGCTGGAATATAGTACGGCGGGAAACAGCAATTGAAATATTTCAGATGGTCAAATGTTTTAGTAACAACACTGGCTGTTTTTTTTTTGCCGTTTGCGCCCATTTCAAGAAAAAAATATTTAAAAATGACCCTAAAAGGCTTCCGTAGACAGCGACTGGTTATTTTCAGGCGTTGAAATCGTTTCGGTATCGTGGGTTAAGCGCGGTTCGCCTGCTTATTCGTCCCATTTGGCTTCGTCTAGACTAACATCTAGTCTCTGAAATGAACATATCGTACAGAAAAAACAGTTGTTCGGTTATCTTAATAAAAATATAATAAATGGGAGCCCAGTGATTCTCTTCATTTTCCTGATATTGCAGTAATCTAGACTTGCCAAACATTATAGACTTGCATGGGCTGTATTTGATATATATTTGTATCAGGGTCTGTAAGACAGACTAGGCCTCGTCATGCTGGCAGTGTCATGAGGCAGGAAGACGAACAGGATGCTTGTGGGACCAGTGACGTACGTGCGATGGGCGTGCCAATTTTCAGTGACTGCGTGAGACAACAAAGACAACATTTATCACTGAGACCTTTACGACACACTTTTATGTCTATTGTTTATGTATAATATTTATATCACAGTGTGAGAGAAAATGTATGATGTATGATGTGAGAGTAAACCAAGTGTAGACGACCGATTCTTTGTCAGTGAGCGTCATCTACACATGTCCGTCAGTATATAACCAGATCCGGGGTAGAATAGGTCTTCAGCAACCCATGTTTGCCGTAAAAGGCGACTATGCTTGTCGTAAGAGGCGACTAACGGGATTGGGTGGTCAGGCTCGCTGACTTGGTTGATGCATATCATCGTATCCAAATTGCGTAGATCGATGCTCAATCACTGGATTGTCTGGTCCAGACTCGATTATTTACCGCCGTCATATACAGGAATATTGCTGAGTGCGGCGTTAAACAACAAACAAACAGTATATAGCCAAAATTCGAAACCACAACCTGCGTTTCCCGGAATCCAAAGGACGCATCTGTGCAAGGTTGCCTCAGAATAATCGCCCACTCGCGCCTTCGCCAATTACAGGATGCCATTTCTTGCGCTATGTCATAACGTTATGTATTGTAAGCCTCGTTGGGCATGAGCCTTTGTTGGAAGAGCGCCAAATGGCAACCTTGAACAAACCAATTGTCGTTGGCTTCGTATCTGAAGTTTACTTTGCACACATGTATGTACTCAAATACACTTTACCGCACATTGAAACAAAAAATATATTACAGAATTGTACATGCAGAAATATTTCTACAGAACCACTTCATAATGATTTCTATAAATAGCATTTTATTTTTTTAAAATTTGATGTTAAGATTTTAATTGTCAAAAATCTAAGATGCCCTTTATCTCAGTGTAAGTGCACTCAGGACAGTCGATTGTTGTCATGTGGCTCACAATTAATATATATATATATGTCAAAATGCTATTCGTCTCAGTTTAATACCATAGGCCATGGGTAATGTGTGTCAGTATCGCAGTGAAAGGAGGTAGCAGGAGACTGTATCGATTGAATCTAAATCATACAAATCAGGTTGACAATTTATTGTATTCACATCATCAACAAAAAATTATAGATATACACTAAATGATGACTATCCACATGGAATATTGTTGCTTCTACTGAACCACAGTTTTACACATTCGTTAGGGCAACCTTAAAGGCCATTTGAAGCATATACACACAAGCTTTACACGAAATGGTGACTATCCACATCCAATTTGTGGATTCTAACGGAATATATTTGTACACATTCTAAGTATATTACACTCATGTAGCATTTTATCACCCCCTACGAATGAACTGTTCATCATATAGCTTGGTTTCTTATGAAACCTTATCAAAATTATGCTTTTAAGAAATACCCTCGTTCCTCCAAGCGAGTCTGTTAACATAAGGGAAGGGAGGTAACTCACTTATAAATCGACCACGCACAAATTACGATTTTGCAATGTATTTATTTTATTTAGACCATTTTTTAGAATTTATAACTCCTGAAAATAGGTATAAGTGAGTGGGTCGTGTTTAACGCTGGTGATGTGGAGACTAGAAATGGGCTTAAGACTCTACACAGTGCCCACCTATGGGGAACCGAACCTGGTCGGTCGTCGTGACGAGCGAACGCTGTACTCACTAGGCTACGCCCGCCGTGCCTGTTGTGCTATGAGTACCCGTTAGTGCATGGATACGGCGCAATATAAATATGCATTTATTAGAAGAATTTTCTACACGAGTGAGTGAGTATGGTTTTACGCCACTTTTAGTAATATTCCAGCAATATCACGGCGGACACCAGAAATGGGCTGAGTATCCTTTCTCCAGATAAACATGTAGTTACGCATAACGTGTAATTCGAATTTTGTTGTTACAGTCTCAAAACTATTTGTGAGATTATTAATATTTATGAAGTGCACCCATATCTTCGACGCTTCATGTGCGCTGACATGTCACGAAGTAGCAAAGAGAGGCTCTCACTGTCACAATCTAAACTAAAATAATAGCTATATTTTATATATGGCATGTGACAAGCAATGAAATTGCTGGCTATAAAAATCTCCTCAAAATTGAAACGTGCATCCTGCCCGACGTTTGCCGGTAGGTTTGGTTATTTTATTTCAATTTCTGTTATCAAAATAAATCATACGACTCGCGATGAATTCAATTCTGTATCGTTTACATTAGGTGAGGTGAGGTGAAATAGGGGCCTGATGTTAGCAGCGGGTTCAATATTCGTTATTCGTTATTCGAATAACGAAAAACCAGCCAGCCCCGGGTTCGTTATTCAAAAGCTGTATATTAAACAACTACAGTAATGTGGTCAAATACACTGAAACACATTTAATATATGACAGCAGGTTCGTCTTACATCATCATCCAAAAGCTGTTAAGTTATTCAGTACTTTTGAATAACGAAAAACCAACCAGCACCGGGTTCGTTATTCAGACTTGGTATAACAAATATAAGATACCGTATTTCCAGTGGGTTCGTTATTCGTTATTCGTTTTTCGAATAACGAAAAACAAGCCAGCCCCGGATTCGTTATTTAAAGGTTGTATAGTAAACAACTACAGTAATGTGGTCAAATACACTGAAACTCATTTAATATATGACAGCAGATTCGCCTTACATCGTCCAAAAGCTGTTTAGTTTTTCAGTACTTTTGAATAACGAAAAACTAAACTGCAGCATTTTAGTTTTCAGTTCATGTCCAACATTTTACAACTGCGAGGTAGTCTAATCTATGTTCAAGCAGTTTTTAGTTACTAAGCGCTGTCCAGCAACTGGAATCTAAACAGCACCACTCATCTTTAATCAATAACACTATTCAGTCGGATTCTTTCCGGCAGTTTATGGATGAATAATAACGAACTAAAAGGGGATAGATCAAACTGTATTCAATTTATTTGAAGGAATGGTTTACAATACTACTTACACTCTTGTATGATAATTTTCATTACAGTTAAATGTAGTGAGTTACCAAGACAGTATTTCTATAAAAAGTCTTTCGCCAGATAGCATTACCGTATTCCCGTGTTTGTTGGGGAGAAGACGTAACTCGCACTCTGTTTGGGCAGGTCACACTCACCTGTGCGCGAACACATCAGTCTTTGATGGTGGTTCATAAACACGGGCTTGTGATACAGTCGGAGGAGAGGTGGACTTTATTATGTGTGAGTGAGTGAGTGAGTGGGTTTAACGCCGCTTTTAACATTATTCCAGTTTTATCACGGCGTGTCAGCTTAATGTAGGAGGAAAGCCCGAAGTGATTCAGGTCTCAGACGTTTACCACTTTGGTGAAACCCACGAGCACGGGTATGGTGCTGACAAACCTAGAAACATAATCGGGGCGAACCGGGATTCGAACCCACAATCATAGGTTTCTGGCGTGCCCAAGGGACGCAACTCTGCACAGCGAATCGCGGTGCCTTAAGACGACTGGGCCACCCGCGCCACCCGACTTTATTATGAACATGGAAAGGGTTTTGTCGCTTCTAACTGCATGTGTTGCCACCGTCTGGGATGGATACGTGCACCACTTCGCGAACACATGGTATCATCACTATCACCGCTATTTGATTCATAAACACATGCTTATGATATACATGTAGTGGGAATCGTTCAATGGACTTCAGCAGATGTTTCCTGTGATCATGGTAAGAGTTGTGTTTCTCAGAAATCAGAGATCGTTGTTTCAAATCCCTGTGTTCGACCTGATTATGTTTCTGTATTTGTCACCACCCTGCCCGTGATTTGTCACTACCCTGTCCGTGGTTTTTCAGCACCCTACCAGTGATTTGTCACCACCCTACCGTGATTTGTCGCCACCCTACCGTGATTTGTCACCACCCTACCAGTGATTTGTCGCCACCCTGCCCGTGATTTGTCACTACCCTGTCCGTGGTTTTTCAGCACCCTACCAGTGATTTGTCACCACCCTACCGTGATTTGTCATCACCCTATCCGTGATTTGTCACCACCCTACCAGTGATTTGTCGCCACCCTACCCGTGATTTGACACCACCCTACCGTGATTTGTCATTACCCTATCCGTGATTTGTCCCCACCCTACCCATGATTTGTCATCACCCTATCCGTGATTTGTCACCACCCTACCCGTGATTTGTCACCACCTACCCGTGATTTGTCACTACTCTATCCGTGATTTGTCCCAACCCTACCCGTGATTTGTCATCACCCTACCGTGATTTGTCACCACCCTACCCGTGATTTGACACCACCCTACCCGTGATTTGTCATCACCCTATCCGTGATTTGTCACCACCCTACCCGTGATTTGTCACCACCTACCCGTGATTTGTCACTACTCTATCCGTGATTTGTCCCAACCCTACCCGTGATTTGTCATCACCCTACCGTGATTTGTCACCACCCTACCCGTAATTTGTCACCACCCTACCCGTGATTTGTCACCACCCTACCCGTGATTTGTCACTGCCCTGTCCGTGATTTGTCACCACCCTACCCGTGATTTGTCACCACCCTACCGTGATTTGTCACCACCCACCAAACTGACAAGCCACGATATAACTGAAATACTGTTCAAACCGGCGTTGACCCTTACTCACTCACTCACTCACTCAGCGATGTGTCTGTTTAGATCACGACAGAATCATGGCGTTGTCCCTTTGCCAGCTGTGCTTGGTGCTAATACTTGTGGCTCTGACCTCAGCCTGGAAACCATCCTGTAAGTATTCCACTCCTACTTAACCAAGATTCTTTTTAACATTTAGGACAACTGAACCACTCCTGACCTACAGATAGTGATAGCTAGCAACACTGACCACGACGTTTATGCAGAGCTATATTCGAGAAATGTTGATCGCTGCTATTTTAAATGAATTGAAAAAACGAAAGAAACAAAAAGTAGCAACGTGATATGCTGTAAACGTATTTTTACAAGTCCGTATTGTCAACTGAGATAACAACTAGAATCACAAAATTGCTACCTCAAAATAATATCCATCTATCATTTTATTCAATCAAAAGGCCTTAGTCCCACGTACATAAAATGTCCATTTTTAAAACACAAAAAACAAGAGTTGCAGCAAAATAACAATGTTTCTATAGAAAGGAACTGCGTAAAATTAAAGCACCCCTACTATAATCTGAGCAACACAATAAAGGAGACAGATTACTGCATTGTAAGAAATGAATTACGAAGTTATTGTTGATGGTTGAGGGTAGATTTCTTGAATATTTTTTACGAAGATCATGATATACTGGACATTAATACAGTAAGTAAAATTCACACACATAACAAAACATGTATCAAAAGTAACTGTGAATGTCACGTGATTGGTGTGATGACATGGACTAAATTGCTCAGCAGATGTATTCCTCGTCAAGACGATTTTTGTGTGATTTTAAAAGATATTTTTAGTCAAAGGTTAGTCGCGTGTTCTTTCACTTCCTTACTATACATGACCAATGAAGAATGAACATACCCACCCATGTTTTCTTTATTATGAGTGTACATTTCATTATTATGAGTGTAAATTTCATTATTATGAGTGTATATTTCATTATTATGAGTGTACATTTCATTATTATGAGTGTACATTTCATTATTATGAGTGTACATTTCATTATTTTGAGTGTAGATAACATTATTATGGGTGTAAATTTCATTATTATGGGTGTAAAGAGCACGCATGTTTCTTGGCAGAATTAGAATTTGAAACATTGAATTTGTTAGAAAGATGAAATACTTAGAAGGCATATATGGGCTACCTTCAAACTAATGGAACATCGGTACACTCTAATTAAGTCAAGAAAACAGGTGCGTTTTGCTTGTAAACATCACATAAGTAAGAACACAATCATACCCGCGTTCGAGTATGCCCCGAGGCCATAACTCCAAAGGATGACTAATATAGCTGGTGCAGCAGGATCAGTTATACGAATTAAATGTAAACTGTTGTGTACTCAGGTGCGCAGGTGCGATAAGATCACCTGTGTTACTTAGACATCATCTATAGTGTATTCAACCAATATACGATCAATTATACGATTTAGAGTTAAACATAGGTTAAACTTGATAATCATCAAAGCAAAATCATATGAATCATGTCAGAGGCCATTCTCATAACTCGACTCACTAAGTGCACGGATCATGTATCCTACTGGACAAGTCAGGTGTTAATGGAATCAAGGTCACAAATTAGTTCCCTATTTTGACTCAATCTCATTAAAATCAGATCTTAGTTTTCGCTACCGCTAAACAAAGATCTGAGGACATCCCATTACAGGTCACGTCAGAACGACCTTTCGCGAATTTTGTCCGACCAATGAAATGACTGACAAGAAATCGACATTAGCCAATCAGAAGGCAGCTTTTTCGAGCTTTACCACACTAGTTTCAAACTGGCGACAACGCTTCGAAACATATTTTGACGTATTCTCGATTAAAAAAATTAAAACTGATAAGAAGAACATTCTGGAATGGCTTATAGATGGCCTAGATTGTATGGATATAATCATAAAACCCGTAACTGTCGTTCGGAATACCCCGTGTTAAATATTTCGTGGTTGCATGATTAGAAAACACATTCCGACTGTCACTTTCATGATCTGGTAAGCAACGCTCTGATTGGTTGGATGAAAGGTCGTTCTGACGTGACCCTTAATGGGATGTCCTCAGATCTTTGTTTAGCGATAGCGAGAACTAAGATCAGATTTTAATGAGATTGATTTTGTCTTGGACCATAAATATGTTGAACACTTGGCTTTCATTTCCACGTGTTTGTGATTAGTGCCATTACCTGGAATCATCACCATTTGATAAAGATTCATAGAGACTTCCTTACGAATTGGTCTGAATCGTTCTAGCAGAGATGTCTTTTGCCTTTGGAAATGATTTTGCCGATTTCGTTTATAATTACAGAACTGTTTGAAATTATAGAAACCGTGACGGAAAAAGGATAAAGATGCCACTGCTTAAAGTTTGTGTATTGCCTCAGTTTGCGACCACAGCAGGAGAATGATCTGAATACTCCAAATGTACTGGAAGCCATATTGTTACGTGTGGTATGAACGGCAGGGGTTCCCGCTAATACCACAAATAACAGTTACAAGAATCACACAACAATCTCTGAAGTTTAAAGCTAGATTTAATAATTAAAACAAAGATAAGTATATAATAATTCTCAGTTACTGGGCAAGGCACTCATACACATCTATTTAGGCAAAGCAATATGGCAAATGTGCAATGTAGATAATAGTCACCTCAGATTTCTTGACATCACATTCCCAATGAATTCCATTTCACATTGTTCCAAACTTATATATATCACAGTTCACAGGATAACTGGGTAACAACAGTTTCCTCCTTTGAAGCGTCGACATGACCTTCTAACTTTGTCTCCGGACATAACGCTTGGCTGAACTGCCCTCGTTCAGTTATACCATATTTCTCCCTCTCAAATTCGTTTTCCTTCCACCTTTTTGTTTGATAACTTTCCCTCATAGTGTAAACAAATTTCCAAGTAAGTTATCTACTTCAGCACACAACAAAAGGTTCAGCGGCCCACACCAATCAGTTACAAAGGCAGACGCCGTCCACCCAAACTGGACCCCTTGTGAACCACACAAATATACAACGTCACTCATAACACTATGAAACTTGGCAAAACTAATGGCGATGCCCCTGGAGTGATAGCATGAAAGCATACTAATCACAACGTATGAAACTTTCAGTGTGTCAGCTTCCTAAAGACACTGGCCCCTGCAGGGCCTACAGCCCCCAGTACTACTACAACAGTCAGACGTGTCTGTGTGAGAAGTTCGTGTATGGAGGGTGTCTGGGAAATGCAAACAGATTCGTCACTCTGGAGGACTGCCGGGACAGATGTGGAGGTATACCAATGTTTAGTGCTTCTTTGTATTAATAATGATACATTGTATCATGTTAATTTCGTCAAGATTTGTACTTCAGTATGTTGATAATGTTAATAATGATAAATTGTATTATATTGAGGTATGTCATTATTTTTTACTTATATTCAAATATATGGATAATGATAGATTTATTGAGAGGGTGTAAGTCAGTGTTGATAACTTCAATATATTAATTATTAAGGCTTGTATTTTGTAGCGATACATCAAGTTTGATTACAACAGCATGCCAAAAATGATACATCGATTTATATGGAGATATAGGCACATCAATGTTGATTAAATGAGTGTAATAATAATTATAATTACAGTGTATATTACTTCTGCATATAAATAGGGATATCCCACAAAGAGTGAGTGAGTGAGTGAGTTGGGTTTAACGCCGCTTTTAACAGTATTCAAGTTATATCACGGCGTGTCAGCTTAATTTGGGAGGAAAGCTCGAAGTGAGGCAGGTCTCAGACGTTTATCACTTCGGTTAAACCCACGAGCATAGGTATTGTGCTGACTAACCTAGAAACATAATCGGGGCGAACCGGGATTCGAACCCACAATCATAGGTTTCTGGAATGCTCAAGGGGCGCAACTCTGCACAGAGAATCGTGGCGCCTTAGACGACTGGGCCACCCATGCCCCATTACCGAGATGATGGAATCCATTGGCAACATAATTATTAGAAGGATTCACAAACTCCATCCAAACAAAAAGTTCTGTGATTCCGTTCTGTGATCAGATTCCACCTCTCATTTAAAATGTCAAGATATCTGATTGATAATCAAGATCTATGTTGTAATAAAACGGGTCTTACCTCGCGAAGTGCGTCAAAAAATTGGGGCACCTTTTAAAAAAAAGTTCAAGGATGGAAAGTGGACTTACAGTCAGTTAACTCCCTTGCCTCGGGAAGATGGTCATAATGATATAGGTACCTGATGACGATGTGACCACTTGCGGTCCTGGTGCTCTCGACAGTTGATATAATAAAAACGCTGTACATGACGTAGACGTTATTATTGCCAATGAAGTGCATAAAGACGTTTTTTGACTCCAACAAGTTTCATACAACCCATTTCTCCCCCTTCTGTGTTCAGGTGGTGACCTCTGCAGCCTCCCTAGAGATTCGGGGCCTTGTGACGCCGATGTTCGCAGGTGGTGGTACAACAAACGTACAAACAGATGCCAGTTATTCAGCTATGGAGGCTGTAAGGGAAACGCCAACAACTTTAAGACACTGGATGAGTGTCGCTTCCAGTGTCGGTGGGGAAGGCCGTGGTGAAACCTACATGACGCACACAACCTACAATAAAACATGATTAATGTAATTCAGGATGTGGTTTTTTTGTGAAATATTGAGTACCAAAAACATAAGTGATTCATAAATAAAAGCAACAAACACGATTTCCATAAAGTCTTTGAAAGGCATTTAGAAGTTATTCACATAAGGAAGAGAATTTATGGATGTCAACTTCTTTATTATGAGGAACACAACGTTTTAGAGTATATGATTACTTCTTCACCATGTGAATGTCACCTGGTAAAGGAGTAAGCATATAATTGGAAACGCTGTGTTCCTCATAATAAAGAAGTTGACATCCATAAATTCTCTTCCTTACGATTTCCATAATTATACGGAAAAGATATGGGGAATTGCATCGGACATCATTTTTGTCACTGCGTCAAACATGGAAATGTCATCCACGTGTCTACCATCAAACATTTTGAAAGCTTTGCTAAGGCCTTGATTGTTGTAACCTTGATCGACAACCTTTGATTAAGCGCCATTTATCGCGCTCTTTGAAATGTTGTGAGACCGCCTCCGTGGTCTAATGGTAGAGCGTCCGCCCGGAGAGCTGAAGGTCCGGGGTTCGATCCCCAGCCGCGTCATACCAAAAGACGTTAAAAGATGGTACTTGTTTTAACCCTGTCTGACGCTTGGCATTAAGGGGCTCAAACAAGGACTGGTCGGCTCGGAGTCTGTATACTGTGTCTGAGTGGGGTATTCATGTTAAACTGCGGCATGGTATCTCAGTGTGATAGCAATATAAATCGGCATCAGTCCGGACTAGTACAAGCAGCCACACACACACACATACATACACGTGCATGCACGTCGCTATATAAGTGCAATAATCTTGGACGCGACGTTAAACCCCATTTCACCTCACCTCAAATGTTCTGACGCCAAAGGCAGGAGCTGCTAGACTATTGCTCGACATAAAGCGAAAGTTGACTATTGGTATCGGGCAGTGGACACTACTTATAGTAGATAATTCTTATGATTATGGAAATTGTTTTTTGGTTGCTTTTTATTCATGGGACCCTTCGGCAGCTAGGCGTATGTACTGTTGTTACTCAGGGCGGTATCGTTTCCGGTTCAATCGTCAGTGACAACCTTCGGATTACTGAATCATTGGTACAAAGAAATATCCCCTTGATTACATCCAGACATTATCCAAAATATTCATAATCTGGGGTTCCACACTGACAGGAACAGGGCTAGGGGTGTAACGATTGCTCGAACTATAGATTGTCCATGGTCCAGTGGCAATATGTGATCGCCATAGTTTACATATATCCACAGACAAAAAAAACGCGAATACCAGACATTTTGCTTAATATATGAGAATTACTCATATTCAAGAGATAATTAGATTGGTTCAAGGCACAAACAAACATACTGGTATGTTGTGTGAACCGACGCAAGAACGCATCACATGGACCATGGCTCATGTCATGAACGTATCATTCGTTTCTGTCAAAAATACATCGTGAAATGCTCGAGAGAATGAACCAGTTGTATATCTTACCGTGAGGTGAGTGAGTGAGTTGGGTTTAACGCCGTTTTTAACAGTATAACAGTTATATCACGGCGTGTCAGCTTAATACGGGAGGAAAGTCCGCAGAAATGCAGGTCTCTGACGTTTACCACTTCGGTGAAACCCACGAGCACGGGTATGGTGCTGACAAACCTAGAAACATAATCGGGGCGAACCGGGATTCGAACCCACAATCATAGGTTGATGACGTGCCCAAGGGACGCAACTCTGCACAGCGAATCGCGACGCCTAAGACGACTGGGCCACCCGTGCCCCCCATTACCGAGAGGATGGAATCCATTAGCAATATAGTTATTAGAAAGATTCACGAACTCCATCCAAACAAAAAGTTCTTGCTGAATTAGTCATTGTAACAACTGTCCAAGAGCATCGGTTTTGGCCTCGGATGGTAGTTCAGCGGGCAATGGAAGACAAACCTTATGAGGTGAAGCTTAAGAAGAGCAGACATGTCTATTGTTGCATATTGAAATACGTCGAAAGTGATCACGTGACAGAACGCACATCGGGACCTACTGACCAACGTTTCCGGGTGCGGGGATTCGCTCTGTCGCTTGTGAAAAGTCAAAGGATACTCATGTTGTACAATTTCGACCAGAATCAAATCACTTTCATTTTGATATTCACGGTCTGTACACAACTATTCCTCGTGATAAATTGAAAGAAGAATCACATTACATTAACCTAACTCACTCGCTCACTCGCTCACTCACTCACTCACTCACTCACTTTCAAGAAAGGGGTTCGGAATATCATATTATTTCAATCTTTTATGGATGTGATCAATTTAAGAATAAAAGTAACTCTACTCGGATATTCGGATACCCAAATACAAGTACATTGTTCAAAACCAAACTCACTCACTAATATATGAGTTACTGGACTTGCTGATTGACATATCATTGTCAACTTTCGTGATAGAACGTTTAGACAAGCACTAGTGTCCCATAGGCACTAACTGTGCCACTCCACTAGCTGTTATGTTTCTCTTTGCATCTTTACTGATTTAGTTCAAATTAAGGACATGTTACCAAGAAGTTCACCTCATCTATCCACCAGAGTTGGAAATCAAAGAAACAACTGAGTAACTGAGTGTCCTGTCTTGATCCATGTATAGAAATTTAAATTTTACAATCGTGAATTTTCCCCTGATGTCTTCCACTGAACTATCAGCTCCACCCAATGGCGTCTACACTTTTCCGTTGCTTCATGCATCTTGTTCACATTTCCACATTTACATCTCGTTCATAAGGCACATATTTCACGGAGAGACACATTTTGCTTACAACTCAGTTTTTCAATCATGGTTTCTCAAAAAAAAGGCCAGCTTAAGTCATTCAAAAAATCTAAAATTCCGGTGTACCATATGTTCCGTGCTTTTTGGTGAATACTTGACTTGCCTTTGCATTTGTTTGTGACGGGTGCCACCGATGGGGAAGGATTGGCTCATCTTTTCGCGAATACGTGGTATCAGGTTGGGTGGTGATTCTTAAACACATGCTTATGATATAGTCGTAATCGAACATGTGACTCTTCTTTTCGACGATGTATCATCTGCATATTGATGTATTTAGTAATGCACGTTACCGATCGTCATGCCGTTCATGTCTTTATTCCCTCGAACCATAATCGCTAAGATTTCTGCACATATAATAAACAAATATGGGGAAAGGGGGTCACCTTGTCTACATTCTGTCTCCTCTTTATAATATTAAGAAATATCCACATTGTAAAACTGTGGATCCAATGGTTTCATTGAATATTTTTATCCAATGACAAATGTCAATGTCCAAAATAAAATACATGTAGATGTAGAAAATTTTCAAGGAATGTGCATAAAATAGTATCAGGGCCTTCTCGAAATCAATTAGAAAAAGACACCCTGGTATAGTTTCGTTCTCTGTAGTAATCATTATATCATAAACCAGTCTTATATTTTCATTTATATTCCATCCAGGGATAAACCTTGTTTATCCTCATTTATCATTTTATTCAAAATATTTTTATTACGATTTGCAATTGTTGCTCCAGTTAAGTTGTAGATAACATTGAGTAATTTTTTTAGGCCTCCAATTCTTTAGATATCCGGGGCGGTAAGGTAGCCTCGTGGCTGAAGCGTTCGCTCGTCACGCCGAAGACCAGGGTTCGATTCTCGACATGGGTACAATGTGTGAAGCCTATTTCTGGTGTCCCCCGCCGTGATATTGCTGTAATATTGCTAAAAGCGGCGTAAAACCATACTCACTCACTTTAGACATCCCCTATAATGATTCTCCTTTGGCACACATGATTTGATGTGAAAATTATTTTCTCTGTAGTAATTATCTTAATCATTGTCTGTCTACGTTATTTCTCTTTTCCAAACTACAAAATGTATTTTGATGGTTTCTCTCCCTCAAGTGAATTTGTAGCTCGTGACCAACAATCCATGCATTTCTACTTTCTCATTTCTTCATGTTAAGCTTTTGCCTCCACTAAGTTGTCTAAAAATTTCCAAATGGCTTACTATATGTTCAAGATCTTTTTCTTCTTTTTCTCTTCTCTGTTTTGTCTTTATTCTGAGTTGTGCTGAAATAAATATTCATAAAGTGAAGGGCGAACTGTATCCGCCGACGGCTGTGTGTTGAAATGTCAAGAAAAAAAACAAGAGACACTGCAAATACCATGATGGATAATTATTCACAAATAGGGTTCTTTTAGATACGTGGCATGTGACATGCAATTAAATAACTGGCTATATAAATGTTCTGAAAATCTGCCCACTGTTGGATGCCTTTTGCAGTCAGGTTTGGGCAATTTATTTCAATTTCTCTAATGCAAATGACATTATGTTATTTTGTATAAAACATGGACACATTGTAATACTTTCTTAATCTGTATGTATGTTGCGTTTTCGTAATGACTTGATTCTTTAATCGCTTGATGAGACAAAAAGTATCTTCGAAATTTTGTCTCAGCCAATTTCCAAATGCCTATAACATACCCATAATAACCATGCGTTCATATTTAAAAAATATTCATTATATGTTAATTAGATCAATGATTGCGAATGTCAGCATTTTAATATGAATAGGCGAAGCTTCTTAAGAATGATCTTTATGACTACCGGAGATCTTCCTGATATGACACATGTGGGTAGTCTACCTGAGATGCTTGTGCTTGTCGTAAGAGCCGACTGGTTATGGTGATGACATAGACAGACAGGTATTCATGATATCAACCATTGGTTTGCATGTTGTATGTCATCCTGCTCCGACCGCCTGGGTCATTGCTCGTGTTGTGAACCACTGGATGGCTGACAAAGACTAGATTATTTACCAGCCGTGATTAAGATGAAATATTGCTGGCAAGCGTGAAATATCATTTACACTGACAACCTATACATACCTTACGTGTACTATCTCAATAGTTGAGCAGTTTCATCTTAGCTTCATGTTCTCTGAAATGTCTGTTTAGATCACGACAGAATCATGGCGTTGTCCTTTTGC